AACAAATTTGTAATTAAATCGTACGTCAAGAGATAATTTGAGAACGAAAGGATCAAGAATACCGAGTGCCAATTTGTATAATTTAACGATTATCTTGCGCGTGAGACAAAAAACGTAACGCGAGGACGCTTTAGCAGAACGATTAATTGGAATATCGTGAAAAGTAGCTTTCTGAGGGGGGAAGTAGGTCGAAGGGAGATCAGAGCGTGAACTGTGAGGAAGGAAACCGAACCGGTTCGAAGGACCGTGCACTTTTAATGGTATACGAGCCGTTATTTCCGAACCAGTGATGCAAAGATTGCACGACCGGTAAGTAAGCAGCTCAATTTTGACCAGAAAAAGTGCAGCGTCAGCCATCGAACCGTCTCATTTTTGGGACACTTCGGACCATAGGCTCCTTGAAATCGATCGTCCTGTTACATTTCGCTCTTTATTTATTCCGCTTCTCTATTCGTATCCACGTTTCGACCAGCGCGGCGAAAACCAATGCGTGATCGCGTCCACGAGCGACAGCCACTTTCCATTTTATTCGCCAACGCGTCGTTAGACCTGCCATTCGATTCAGATCGCGACAGATCGATTCTACTTCAACAAATACCTCGAGCAAATGTGTCGTCGACGAATGAAATTTTTCGGCGAAACGACGATTAATCCGTTGGAGGAAACGGACCGTTTCGGACGAGGTAATATTTTGGTTGGACGAGCAACAGTAGTTTCGAAAGTTTTTATCCGCGTGTCCTTTCCTCGCTGTTAAAACGCGGAAACTTGGGAAACACCTCGTTAAAACTTGGGAGTTTTTAACTCCGTAACGCTCGCGGAATCGTTTCTGCCACTGTTTTATATTTCTGCAAATCTTCACGGTGATCGTGTTTATCGTTACAGTTTGACGGGAGTGTCGTCGAACGGTTAGACCCCGCCTCGTTGGGACTGGTTTAAATTATACGTTCAGTAGCTCACGATTCACTCGAAAAGATACACGCGTTTAAATTTTAGAAATAGGTTAAACAATCGAATACATTAAGTTCGATAGTAAATCTAGATTCAGGCATTAGTTTTATTCTTTAAATACTAACTTATTGAACAAATTTGCAAAATAGGTTAAACACCAATTTATCGAATACATTAAGTTTCATAGTAAAACTAGATTCAACCACTAGTTTTATTGTTTAAATACTAACTTATTGAACAAATTTGCAAAATAGGTTAAACACCAATTTATCGAATACATTAAGTTTCATAGTAAAACTAGATTCAACCACTAGTTTTATTGTTTAAATACTAACTTATTGAACAAATTTGCAAAATAGGTTAAACACCAATTTATCGAATACATTAAGTTTCATAGTAAAACTAGATTCAACCACTAGTTTTATTGTTTAAATACTAACTTATTGAACAAATTTTCAAAATAGGTTAAACACCAATTTATCGAATACATTAAGTTTCATAGTAAATCTAGATTCAACCACTAGTTTTATTGTTTAAATACTAACTTATTGAACAAACTTTCAAAATAGGTTAAACACCAACTTATCGAGTAAATTAAGTTTCATAGTAAATCTAGATTCAGCCACTAGTCCTATTCATTAAATACTAACTTATCGAACAAATTAAGTTTGAAGAATGTATAAGTGAACGTAACTTGTGTATTTTACTTTTGTGAGCTACTGAGCTTTGAAATTACTCAGAAACGATTCGTGGTATGATTGAAAACTCTTTCACAACTGTTCCAATTTAACGTTCGATGGATATAAAAATGGAGGGCAGTCAATTTACTTTGAGTACGCGTACTCGCAACGTCTGAGAACATATTCAATGCAATATCGTTCCCGTGAATGCCAATAGCTTATTTGTGATGCAGACGATTGATGTTGAGCATTGTTACAGTAAAACAGGAGAGAATGTTGTTGATGAGAAATAATAATATTCCACGCGAATGAAAATTAATGCTTGTGAAATGAAAATGTACGCCTTCTTGGATCCTAATGGGCCCTTTTTCCTGTTGATAGTCGGATACAATGAAACGATACTAGAAAAAAGTAACGTAAAAAGAGAGAAAAACAGTATAAAGGGATATTCGTCCTGGAAAGCGATGTGGGTTACGGTCCTAGATAAACCGGTGAGATAGAATTTGTTCAACCGACGACACACATGGTTTTAATTAAACCTTTGTCTATATGTCAGCAGAAAAAAAAACGCGAATCGCGATGAACCGGGTTTGGAATATTTCTGTACAGACGATCGTTTCACAGAGGATATATCGCTGCTGAAATTTCGACTATAATAATTATTAATCAACACTATTTGCTCGAGCATCCTATTATAGAAAATAATCCAGTGCCAATTATTAATGATATTAGTACTGTATTAGTATACAGCAAAAGTACAGAAAATATTATTTTACTGTTTAAAATGTAGAATTTTCCAGATTCTTAGAATCAGTGCAATTGCACGCTGGACGTTTGAAAAACAGGGGTCCATTAAAATAGAAGGGAAACATGCAGGACGAGTTTTAGAGATATAAAATTCAACAGGTAATGAGAGAACTTCATTACGTTGATGCAATTCGTTGTTTTTATTCGACGTACGATAAAAAAAGAAGCAACCACGTCACTTGCAGTGTCTGGGAGCATATTTTGTTAGTACAGTGTTCTTTTAGGGATTTACGTCTGCATTTACATAAAATTTCTCGGGCGTTTCGCGGTGAAAATTCGATGCTCCTCCACGCTTGACTTATTTAAGACAATGTTAGTTGCTGTAATATTTTACGCCATTTCAGAGCACCGTTGGACCCATCTTTATCCGATAATAAATTTTTATCTCGACAAAATTGCATTCGGACGAAGATTTCCATGCTAATAAGTTGCCAAGCGAAATAGCTAATAAAATTCACTCGTTTCTCGTTAAACATTTCAATTTTATTCGTTACCTTAAACAAGTTCAAATAGAAATTGAGAGAAATAAACTTCCATTCTATAGAAGCACTTTACCATATTCACGTAGAATACTCTGCTTTGTAAATTTGAAATTAATGTGTACTAATAAATTATTTCTCTAATTACGAACAAATTTTGTTTCGAACAAAATTTGCCTGACTCTGCCTGCAATTAGTTTGGGACGTGCATCGTCTCACTTTTGAAATCCAAATTTCTATAAAAAATTCTAAAATATTATACAGAAATAAATTATTTCTCTATTTGCAAATAAATTTTGTTCGAAACAAAATTTGCCTAAATCCGCCTGGAATCAGTTCGGGGCATGTATCGTCTCGTATTAAAGTCCAAATTTCGAAAATTGTAAAGGGTTTGAAATTTGACTAATGGCGATATATTTTCTGGTAATTACAGCGAGGAAAATTTACTTTTTTTCACGGTTTTCTTTGTATCGGGTTCCCCCAGGATATTACATCTCAAGCCAGTATTTACCAGCACGAAAAAGCAGCACACTCATTATCAGGAGTTTTTTGTCGCCGCTGTAAATAATTCGCAATCAACCACTTTATTGTTTTATCGCGCGATTACCTCTCGCGAGCCTGTAAAAAACTGCTTGTCAAGGTTTTGCGGTTCATAGCTACGAAATAGGTAGCAATTAGCGTTCTTGCGCCACTACCGATAAATTCCACGCGATGGTTACGATGTTCTGAGATTTACAATTTAACACCAGCCTGGCGCAGGACGTCAGGGTCATTATTTATACAGTTTCGAGATACAACGCCGTCCAAACGTCTGAGATCAACCATTTTGCTTGTACTTTTTAATGCGATATTGAATAAAACATGAATAGCTTCCAATTATATGGTCTGGATCTTAAGTTCAAGCCACCCTCGTGCAATTTATTACATATTCGAATTCTCAATCGGTTTCTTAGTGAGAAAAAATTATTTGCAGAACAATTAAACCAGAAAACGTTTCATGAGTTGATGTATAACACACCAAAATGCAAAGGGTTTTCTTATTCAACTGTTTCTTAAAAATTCAAAAACAAATTGTTTACCATTTTAGTCGTTGGACTTTGGGTGCCGGAATTTTTCAATGCAATCTTCCACGTTCCGTGGCAAAAAATTTGTATGTCATTTTAAATCCGTCATTTTGAATTAAAAACGTTTAAAGCTCTATTTATTAAATAAATGCGATGGTTCTAGAAATCGACACATTGCGTGGGCGTCGAAACTTTTCATTTCGTCTTTTCTATCTAAACCGTTAACCCTTAGCGAATTTTAACATAATATCGATGCAATTTAAAAAAAAAATAAAATATTTTTTTCTGCAAAAACGTGTAAACGCCTACGATTTGAATTTTATTCGCCTGTTTGATAAATTTCGTTTAGATCACACCGTGTTGGAAGGTTATCGATCGTTCGCGTCGTTGGAGCGTGGAAATTGCTGAAAATTCGGGAAAGTCGAATCGTCCGGAGCAGATGCACGGTTGCTCGATAAAATCCTTCCCGCGGTAATTAACTGCGACACTGGCGGTCCACCTATTACCAAAATTTGCGACGTTACTAACGTATGCACCGAGTCGCGAACGTGCATGCAGATGGAAACGGCTACGTGACCGAAATTCCTCCCATCTGTTTATGTGACGGTAATCATTGGCCAGCCGACTGATCGATTATTTCGCGCGATGTACAAATTACCGTTATCGAGGATCCGAACGAGCATCGGGAAACGAATTTTTCGCCGTGTCGTTCGGGAGAGCGGGGTACGGCCGGTGGGAGGCGGGAGGAAGGGTGACAAAGTGATTACAACGGACGATAATACGAAATTAAAAAGTCCCAATTGCGTTACGTTCGACCGCGTTCGACGGTACGAGAGCGTGTAATTGAAATTAAAATTGCCACTGTGCTCCGATTCTCACGTATGCTTCGTACACTGTTGGCCAAAAGTTTTTTTAAAAATGGGTATTTGATGTCGTTCTAGAAAATTTTGTTCGTCAAAAGACTAACGTAAAAGAACAACGTATTTTATTTAAAAGGTTTCTCACGAATTTTTCGTTTTCAGGTGGAGACAAAAATGGTCGCTTTTAACAACCTTCTTCGGGCATACATTCAAGGGTAAGATCTAAAAATAATTACTTCGATCGGTACAATTTTTTGGAATTAAGAAACGTGGATGCAAAACGGTACTGGAGATGGTGAACTTCTCTACGTTGAATTTGATGGTTTAAATTCTACGCGTACTTTGGCGCTCGAAATATGTTCTTTGCGTATCGCGGGATCCCCCGCTGCGGCTAGAATTCGCGATACAATTAAATTGCAACGTTACAACGCGATACCACAAACGGATAGCGGCGCTTACAAATCTCACGTAACGCATAAATCGCGCGGAATCACCGGTTGGGTGGCGTAACGTGTAATTAACATTAAAAATTCCACGAGTATTCAACATCAGGTACCAACAGGGGGGCTCATTACCATAATTGTTAGACCAATTAACACACGCGTCCCATTAGCATAATTTCGATAGTTTAACGGCCGTTTAAATTATCTAAGCCCGCCCGCCACTTGAGTATTCCATTAAATACTAAAGCACGTTGCAAACGATAACGCACGATGGAGAGGAAAGGAGTAATTATTCGACATCCGGCGGAAGTTGTAGCTGCGTAGCCGCGCGAGCGAGGAAAACGTTAATGCTGGGGCGGTTCGAGTACAAACAAGACTTTTCGCTCTTTGGCGGTAAATATTGGTCCCTGTTCCCAAATCAGCGACAACTGTTTATTCGACATATTTAGCATTGGCATTCCGCGATCATTGATCATTCATCGCCTGTGACAGGCATGAAATCAAGCTTAGGTTGATCTGCAATAATTTGTAATTCGTTATCGTTGTGCCTACGAACGAGGGGCACGTTCGACTTCGGCTTTAACGTGCTTTTGCAGAATGATAGTAATCCATTTTGGTGTACGTAAAATATTAGGTGTAGATATTCAACACTGTTTAAGGTCTGAATAATTAATGCGGATATTTTTATGCAAATTTTTATTAATATAATTAATGAAATCAAATTTGTAGAGGGTTGTCCCAACCCCTAAATATAATAATTCGTATCTTTAAGTATTTCTTATATTTTTGCATATTAACACTAAACCTACCGACACTTCATGTATACCCATTCCTAGCATAACCGGTCAAACGACCACATTTTCTTTTTCTCTTTTACGAGGCAAAGTACTTCTAATTTTTCCATTATATGTATAGAAAGTTGTGTTTTGATGTTTATTCATAAGATATCATTCTCTTCCATGCTAAAAGATTTTTTAATTTTCATCGGATAGAAGATAAAACGCCCTTGGAAACGAATTTTATTCCAAGTCAATAGTGTAGTTAGTTTTAAAGAAACCAATTATTAAAGAAAAAGTACTAGCTAGTAATTACGCAAACATCCTGTATTTAAATTAAAATTAATTTTCAATTAAATAAACAATTTATGATCCAGTTTTATCGTACACTAGTCGTACGATCAGTAGGAATTGCTGAAACTTCTTTGGGTATGTAGCGTCAAAGTAAATGTCAAAATAAACATAGAAGACAGCATAAATTAGAATAGTTTTTAGGGTCATTAGATAGAGGATGAAATGCCCTTTAAAATGAGCGTTCGAACAAGTCGATAGCTTTATTAGTTCCGGAGATATAGCGATTTTTGTTTCGCGTCGATGCGGTGGTTAGTTCCGGAGATACAAGGGTCCGAAGCGTTTGTTTACATTCTTACTACGGCCTTGTCAAGGTCGTTGACAGCACGTGCTCGGAGAAACTAGGTCACTGGGCCACTCACAAGTCGCGAGTCACGTACGAGAAAGAGAGGTACGACGCGACGCGTCAGACGAAGACAGAGATAGTCGAATTAGAAAACTTACCTTTTACATAAATAACGATATCTCGAAAACGGAAAGTCCGATCGACAAAAACCAAAAGCCATTTTAAAGGGGAGGCTTTGCCCCTTCCAACGATGGCTCAGTTATGCGAAAATCATGAGTAGTTTCGGAACTGCATGCGTCTAAAGTTTTACTATTTTTAATACGCGTTGTTAGACTGTTTTAAGACGGTGGAAACTGAAGATTTTCTCCTTTCGTCTTTGCTATACATATACTTCCTATTTACATCGGAAGCTAACCAGAATTTGGTATCGAATTTTGTCCAGTTTTTTACAAACAAATATAGATCATTCAACCGGTCAGATGACCGGTCATGGCAGGCAAGACAGATTACATATTTTTCTCAGAAAACAAACAGGAATAGATGTGAATATTGTAAAATTCATTGTACATATACTATAAGAAAAGTCGTGAAGTTAAATGGCGCTAAAATAACACTATATATAACAAATTCTAAACGAAATTTTAAAAACGGTCATTCGACCGGTCGCGGAAGGTTTACTGTTAAATGCATACTGTAGCTTTTTGAGAATTAAATTTCCCCATAAATGCATAAACATCCGCAGTCTAATTATAAGTTCTGTATAACCCCATCGACTATTCATAGGATGTCTCATGAAAGATTAATATTAATTCAGTTCTTAAGTTTCTGTGTATTTTTCTATTTGTACCGAGTACTGCACGATACTAAATGACTACTCGACACTTTTTAAGATGTGAATAATTAAAGTGCAACAGTTATAAGTTAGGTTTGTATAACTCCATCGACTATTCGTAAGTTCATGACAGTTCATAAGTTTTTGTGTATTTTTGTACCGAGTAAGAGTTTACTGGCGTTGCAATACTGTAGCAGTTAGGAGAATTGCCTTCACCAAGGTCTAATGATGCTCACATAGTACTAATCGTCTGTAAGTATCTCGGTCTGGGGTAGATTGGACAATACTTAAAAGAATTCAAACTGTCTCTTCTGACATTTATAAGCAATTCAAACTGACTCATGACACTCAAGCAATTCAGACTGATTCGCGACACTTAGAAGCAATTCAGACCGACTCACGACATTTATTGAGTCATCAATAGTTGTCATGACTTGGTACAAACTGCACGACACTTGCAAACAATTCAATTTATTGCAATTCAGACCGACTTGCGACACTTACAAGCAATTCAGACCGACTTGCGTCACTTATAAGCAATTCAGAACCTCTCACGATACTTATCGAGTCATCTGTAAGAGTCGTGGCCTGGTATAGACTGCACAATACTCAAAAGAATTCAATTTATTAGAATTCAATCTGTCTCTTCCGACATTTATAAACAATTTATACCCACTCATGACACTTATAAGCAATTCAGACCGACTCACGACACTCGCCGAGTCATCTGCAGGTATCGTGGCCTGATACAAACTACAGGACACTTACAAAGAATTCAATTTACTCCAATTCAGACCGACTCGCGACACTTATCGATCACAGGAGATAAAGTTGACCAAATTCAACTAGAGTTAAAGCATTCCAATGTTTTTCTACCATCTTTGTCGTTATTCGACTAACACCATGGTCCAATGGGGAAAGTTCTGACGTTGGTATAGTAATTTCAGGGGACGTTTGGACCCGGTGGTGGTCATCGAACGATTACAGCGCGATCGTCGAAGGGATCCTCGATTCTCCAGACACCTTATCAGAAAGTCATGGGATACTTAACGGATACGGAAGGATCCATTACTATAATTGCTGATTCACGGGCGTGTTCGATTGTTCAGTTGGTCGAATACCTTCGTGGCCAATATTGCAACCGCGTGTCCATAGCTAGTTACGGTCTCACGGCTATATGCTCGAGGTACGCGGCGGTTTGGTTTACTGCCTCCGGGGAAACGTGTGTATATCTGTCCCTTGTCGCGTGGAAACGTCTATGGTCGTTGGATTGGCCTCGTTGCATACGCGTACCGTACGTACGCGTAGCATTCACCTTTTTTTCTTTTTCTCTGCATAGCTAGTCCATCCACGCGAAGAGATTTTCCTTTCTCTTCGAGGCCTTTTGATCCGTCCTGCCGTGTTTCAACCAAAATTCGAGTTCGCAGTCGACGTGCATGTCGAAAAGCTTCTCTTCACCGGGTTTCCCATGCGTCGACGCTCGAAGAAAAGATCGCGAACGTCGGCTGTAAATATTTTCTGGCTTTTGGCGAGCGCCGGCCGAGGCATCGGGAAATTATGCAAATGTTATTCGCGCACGTGGTCGGTTGAGTTATTTGTGGCCGTTTAATGCCACCGTTGGAAGTTCCTAATGAATTTACGGCCGGATATTATACGGCTAGAAGGTAACGAGAGATAGTTTTTATATAAAAGAGTGTATATGCATTTTAAGCAGGAACAGAGAAAAAAAGAGAGTATAAATGGTAATTTTACCACCCTGCCCGTGAAATTTAAATACTTAATTCGTGGACGATATTCTCTGGCTCGCCAGTTAGAGAGAAGCCTCGCTTTGATAACGCGAATTGTTTGTAGTTGTTTTCCGTCGAATCGACCGAAGTATCTTGTTTTGGTTATCTTTAGTAAGTCTCCGCGAATCCGCGGTTTCTACGCCCGAGAAGAAAAACACAAAGTCTGAATATGAAAGGTGAGGCGGCCGTAAACCACGGAATAATAATCAAACAAGAAAACCACTGAAGGTTCGTGAAACTATCAGTTTGGAGTAGGTCGATAAAACGTGACGAGAAGGGCGTAAAAAGCGCGAACGTAAAAAAGTAGAACGTCGCGAGAGCACGAAACGCAAAGACGGACGAAACGTCTAACCTGGGACGCTCGAAGAAAACCGGTATTGTAAAGACAGTTAAATCATGCGAGATTGCAAAGGCAGATAAGGTTTGCAGTTGGCCGGGAACACCCAACATCAACACGGAGGATTTCGAGGGATTAAATGTAAACCGTGTAAATTTCACCAACGCGGGTGCAGCCGGGAGGTCATTTTCTACCTCATACTCGGTAGAATCGGGCCAACGGGGATCAAAAAACCTAAACGGTAGAGTGCCATTAGTATACAAGGCTCTGTCACAGGGCAAGCAGATAAGGATCGCATAACTTTGCGTAATTTAAAAGTCAACCTAAATTATTATTGGTATTTGCATAGCAATCAAAAGCTGGGATCAAATGAAACTCTAAGTTTTGGTAAATAGAAGTTTTTTATTTTATTGTGGCACTTTAAATCTGTTACAAAATTTCTAAAAAGCTTCATCAGATGGCAAACAAATGAAAATCC